CGCGGTGGGTGGCAGCCGGCCCAGGTGCCCACCGTGCGAGGGCTCCTTCGCTTCGTCCCCTCGCCTGCAAGGACGCAAGGCACGACCGTGGCGCGGGGCTGCGCCAGCTCGCATCTGAGTCCAGGCCAGCGGTGGAGCGGGCGACACCGCCAGCCTTTTGGGGCCGGTAAGTCCATCTGAAGTGCTTCTCTGCAAAATAGTGATTTTCATTTTACCAAAAATTAAAAAAAAAGGAAGCTAGGAAAGCACTTACTATGTTTTCTTGCCATTTCCTAGCAAAAAAGTGGAGAATAGTGCAGAAAAGACTCTTTGCTTTTGCTGCTCAGCAGTTAAAAAGCCTGTATCCCTCTTTCCACTGGCAAAACACAGTTAAATTGGGGTGTGTAGCTATCTTGCTCTTAAAGCAGAGGTGTAAGGGGTCAGAGTATGGGGGAGGAAGAGGAGGAGAAAGCAATTTCAAAGAGGGCAACAAAACGCTAGGAACATAGTTCCTCTTGTTATTTTAGGTTTTGCTTTTTTCTTGCAGGGGGTTACCCCAAAAGTCAAAACTGTAAAAAAGAGGTAACTTCAGCAGGCCAAAGAGATGCACTGCTATGGGGAGACAACGCGATACGGTCAGGTCCGGCTCGGTGCCCAGGCGCGAGGAGCAGCAGTGAAGCCACGTGGGTGCCGCCAGCAGCACAGGGCGGCCCGGCAGCCCCCAGCACGCGGTATGTCCCCAGCGTGCAGCTCCCCACTGACCTGACCCTGCGTGTGGAGAGCAGGATGGTGCACCGCGGCCGTTTTGCCACGTGGTGATGTTTCAGACGTGCCTGCCCCATCGCTGGGGTCGCTCAGAGCCAGGGCAGGTGGTTCACAACAGCACGGACAGGGCAGTTTGGAGATCCATAAAGGTAAAGTGTCTGAGGCATAAAATTGCCCTTACAATGGACACCACCTCCACGCCTGTCCCCTGCCTCCCGCTCCAGCCCGTCATGGGGCCAGCAGCATCAGGACAGGGCGAGCATCTCCCACTCATTTTAATCAAAACAGCCATAAAAATAATGCCTGCCCAGAAGGACCAACGGCTAAAGCCCAGCCCTAACTTTCCTTGGTTGCTGGTTGCAAGGCTCCTGTTCAAACCCAGGCAGTCATGCAGCGAGACCCTTAAACATCCCAGGTAAGAGATACCCGGGTGTCCCCAGAGCTGGAAACCCAAGTGTGCCCAGAAGCGCTGTGCAGGCACAGGAAGGTGCCCCAGGCAGAAGACAGTTTTTCAACGTCTGGTGTGTTAGCCTCACATGCAGACCTGCTAGGAAAGTGTGAGGGGAAGTGAAGCCCACACCTAGCTGCAGAAAAACAAATCAGCAATCTAAATAAGGACTGACAAGTCACAGGACACAATAGCTACTTGCACCAGAAAGATGGCCAATGTCCCAGGGGGCAAAATATCAAGCTGCTGGTTGCACTGAAACAAGGAGGTCAAAAAGCACAAGACAGAACGTTTTCCCAGGCCTGGTAAGAAGAGGAAAGCTCAGTCTTGGCCTGCCAAAACGATGCCTCAAGGATGCTCCTGTCATCAGGAAAAATATAACTGCCCTTAATGAGTGCCAGAGGGGCTGCCTTGGGATTTCCTGTCTGGAGAAGAGGACATTGTTTGCTCTGCAAGGGCTGGCTCTGGATGGAGATGAGAGTCTCCATGCTGAGGATGTTCATCCGCCCACCTTGGGCAGGCTGCCGTGATGGACGGGGGAATGTGTCCCAGGGCTCATTTTGATGGACTTGAGAAAATGGAAATCACCGCGTTGCACCAGGTTGTCCAGAGAGGTGACGAGAGCAGTGGTGATGCCTGGGGAGCTGGCGACCGGCTGCATTGGGCACTGAGATGTGAGCTATTCTCCACCTCCTGCCGCCGCTGCCCCTGCCAGAGCCGGCATGCCAGCTCCAGGGACCGCTCGGGGCCGCGGGAGACCCGCAGGGCGCATGGTGCCAGGACGCCAGGCCCCCGGGACGGGGAGGGACGGGTCTGCAGGGGGTTTTGGCTGCTCATGGGGCCAGGCAGCGGCGCGCTGCCTGGGATTCCCCGGGCGGGCAGAGCTGCTTGTTTACTCCGTGCCACCCCGGCAGCACTCGGTGCTACCTACGCCCCCGACATCCTGTTTGGCAAACCCTTCTCCGTGCCAGGCACGTGCTGTCATTGCCAGGGGCCGTGGGGCCGGCGCACGCGCGGCACGGCGGTGGCACGCCGGCTCTCTGCAACCCGGCGCCGGGCAGGACCCACTGCGGGAGCCGGGACATGGACCCGGTTCGTCTCTGACGTCCTCCCGGCCGGCGGGGGGAGGACGGTGGGCCTGGCGGGG